TCAGTAGAGGGAGGCGGGACCAGGACAGGCACCAGGGCCTGATCCACCAGAGGAGCCTTGCCGACCCTCTCGGGCCACGTGGGAGGCACCAGGATGGCAGTGTGGGCTGCCCTGGGTGGTGGGCACACAGCTTGGCCCTTGAACTTCCGTGGCACTGGGATCCCGCTGCCTGGCCCTGCTTCCCTGAGGGGATGCCTGGCCGCGCTTGCTTCCTCCTCAAGGCTGCTGCTGCTATGTTTGCTCTCCATGCCCAGGCTGGGTTTCCCCGACTGTTGAGGCAGGTGGTAGGGCAGGGATGGCCTGGCTATGGGGCCCCGAGGTACATGGGTGCGGGGCATGTGCAGCAGCTCCAGGACTGGGATTGGGCGGATCGGGGAGGGGAGTCCTGGCTGCCTTTTGGGGATGGGGGCTCCTTGCGCTTCCTGTTCGCCGGGATGTTTGTTGGTGGGGCGGCAGGTGGCCAGCTCATCCCGTGTGTGTGGCGGAGCTGGAGGACAAGGTTGGACGGCAGGCTGAGTGTGCAGGGGCCGTGGCATGCCACCCTCACCCTGCTGTTGCCTTGCCTCACGGCAGTGGCACCAGCAGCAGGTGGAGGCGGAGGCACAGGGGGAGGCATGTGATCCGGCCTGCCAGATGCACCACGCGGCTGCTTTTGTTGTGGCCACAGGCAAGCAAAGGCAGTGGGATGGAGTGGGCCGGTCGGCCACACAGTGCATCCAGTGGGCCGGATTGTGCCTCCCTCTCCCGTGCCTCTGCCTCCACCTGCTGCTTGGAGAGCTGACCAGGGGGTCACAGCACTCAGACTCACCTGTGCTGCATGGGCTGCGCAGCCCCAAAGTGGCTGCTGGACACCATCGGCCCCACGTTCCTGTGCACCTCATGTCTGCGTGCCTGGGAGGCACCTAGGTGGGCTGGGTTGAGGCCGGGGACGTGGCGGCCGGTTGAAAAAATAAGGTCTAACCTGAAAATAAGCCCTAATGGGTATTTTGGAGCAAAAATTATTATAAGATCTGGTCTTATTTTCGGGGAAACACTGTAATACAATACTGTAAGGATTAGGTGTTCAGCAGAGTGATGACATGAGGGGAAAAAACTGTCTCTGTGTCCAGTTGTTTTGGCATGCAATGCCCTATAGTGGCATCCTAAGGGGAGGAGTTGAAACAGATTATGTCCAGATGTGAGGGGTCTGTAGATATTTTCTCAGTCCTCTTTTTGACCCCGCAATATACAGGTCGTCTATGGAAGGCAGCCTGGTTGCAATTGTTGTTTTTGCAGTCTTAACTACCCTTTGGAGTCTGTACCTGTCCTGTTTGTTTGCTGCACCAAACAAGTACTGATGACAGACTCAATAATTCCTCTGTAAGAACTGTATCAACAGCTCCTGGGGCAGTCTGAACTTCCTAAATTGACGCAGGAAGATCATTCTTGGATATGCTTTTTTTTAGTGAAGGTTCTAATGTTAGGTGTCCATTTCAAATCCTAGGAGATTATAGAATCCAGAAATTAGTGCAAAACATCAGATAGGTAGCTACTTAATCTCTGATATAGAGGTCACATATTCCCCAAATTGAAAGATCTACAGTGGTTGCTAATGCTTGGTGTAATGCTTAAGGCCTGACCATTTGAGCACATACCATTTCTGTTACAAATCTATTGAAAATTATATTCCTCACAAAAGATCTTTATTTTTTAAGTTGGCAGATTGGAGAGAGTATTCTATTGGCATTGATTCTGGGGAGCAGTGTTTTTCAAGATTAATTAAGACCAGGGCTTTTTTTGTCATAGAACACCCAGAACGGAGTTCCGGCACCTTTTTGGGATGGAACCCTGTAGGGTAGGCAAGGCGGGTTGTATGATGTGTGTGAGTTCCGGCATCTTTTTTTTTTTTTTTTTTTTTTTACAAAAAAAGCACTGATTAACACACATATATTTGATTTGCCTTAAGAGTTGGCTTTTTTTTTTTACTTTTTGCATGTAATTCTTTAATGGTTCCTTTGTTTGGTTTCTGACATAAGGCAGTTTGTGTTCAGAAAGACAGAATATAAACTGAGTCAGCAAATATATAAATAAATACAAATAGCAAATGATTTACAAAAAACTGAGTTCTGTTCTGTGGAAGAAACATATCACCTAATTTATCAAGATTATTTCTTTAAGCAACTCTAAATCTGTGAAGTATTGCTGTTAAGTATTAACATAAATTAAAAAGTGTTCACAACATCCATCACTTTATAAACCACTAATAATATTAGTTTACTTTTAAAAAAATCGCTATTGTTTTAAATTAAGGCAACAATTGCATTGCAGTTCCAGAATTACTTTTTCTAAGATTAACACTTGAATAATCATAGCAGCTCCAGAAAATAAAAAGAGAAGATAAAAGATTGGCTGGTTCCTTTTTTTATCTCCATTATGTATGACATATTGTTGACCAAAACGTCTTTAATAAACATGCAGCGTGTACTTTTCCAAAGAACAAAATAGTTCCTATTAAAACGGACTAAAAATGAAAACTGGAGAATGCGGGCATCGATCCCGCTACCTCTCGCATGCTAAGCGAGCGCTCTACCATTTGAGCTAATTCCCCTCCCTTATTTTCAGTATGGAAGCTTCTGTATAGAAAGGTTTGTCAAAAAGAACAGGCAATTATCAAGGGATTTCCGTTGATGTACAGATCATTCAGCAGCAAAATTGCAAAGCAACAGTCTATAATGAAAACAAGCCCTTTATATCAGGAGTTGGAAGTCTGTGCTTGTGATAAAACAGAAGCAAATAGTAGTTTTTGTAATTCTCTTTCTGTGTTTAATTAAACCAGTCCTACTTCTTACAATAATAACCATTCAATTGCAGGCACTCATGAAAAGAAATGGAAACTTTTGCTATACTTGATCTTCCATTTATCTTATATTCAATAAATAATAATATAACAGTCAAAAGCAAAGCTTTGTAATTAAAAACATGATATTAAAAAACTAACCCGTGGATTGATTCTACTACCTATCACGTGCAAAGCGAGTGCTCTACCTTTTGAGCTAATTTCCCACATCTTTATTGTACACAATACATTAGTCTCATTTTAAAAAAAAAACATCCCAAAATTCTAAAGTATGATTCTACTATGCATTAGTTTTATTAAAAGTTAATGCATATGGGAGAAGGGGAAATATACATGACTTAATTTGAATGTCCCCATCCCCCCCCCCCGCGTATTAGCTTTTTTAATATAAAAAGCATAGAGTGGAGAATGCGGGCATCGATCCCGCTACCTCTCGCATGCTAAGCGAGCGCTCTACCATTTGAGCTAATTCCCCTCTTAACGGTGTACTTAACCTCTGATGAATCACCGCAGGAAATAAATGGACCAGAATAAGTACTACAACATGTTCTCCATCAGCACAAATACAGCATTCCTATCTGGTTCCTTTGGAAGAAACTTAAAGCAATATAAAAAGGGCAAAAATACACTTCTTCAAAGGCAAAGATTCACCCATACAGCTTATTGCAGCTGAAACTGTGAGATGTCTGCTGCTTTCACTCTCTTCCCCTCCTGAATAATCAAATACGTTTCTCTCCCATAGATATGTTCCAATCTTCCTCCTCCCTTAAGTGTCAAATATCCAAGAAACTTTGAATATCCATTCAAAACCTCAGTGATTCATAACACTCACTGATGCAGTAATAATCTATCCTGGATTATTAACTAGCAATTTGCCTTAATAAGGGAACTGTTAACTATGGGCTGTATGAGGAAGATGTAATCTTTAAAAAAAAGCACCTTGGAGAATGCGGGCATCGATCCCGCTACCTCTCGCATGCTAAGCGAGCGCTCTACCATTTGAGCTAATTCCCCTTCCCGAGTGTATTTTTCAGTGTTCCATTTAAAAGTAAACAAAGACGAAGGCTTTCACGTTACATATATTAACTAGTAAACTGGATTGGGTATTCTGCTTCACTTGACAGCTTAATTAAAAGTAAAACATGCAATTAAGTGTTGTAAATCTATTCCTCCTCATATATTAAGTAACACATGAACTAATTAAGTAACAAGTAAGCTCACATATGAGATTATAGTAAAAAAAGATATCCTAATGTGATAAAAGCAGCACTAAATGCTCAGGCAGTCTTATCTATGGTGATAAGGTGTCATGGCACGTGTCATTTGCAGAGGGCAATGCGCTTTTGAAGGTTAGTAAGTCTGAAGAAAGCATTCAATTTCAAACTGGAAATATACAGTTTCATTAGATTCCTATAAGCATAGTACTGGGAACAGTAAGGCTGGATCTCAAATCAAGCTAGAAGTCAATAAAAGCTACCACTCCTCAAGATAAAAATCACCCAATACTGGCAGCATTTCCTTCTGGTCCTAGTCATTCCTATGATCTTCTTTCTCACTAGTCCAGGGGTAGGCAACCTTGACTCTTTTATGACTCGTGGACTTCAACTCCCAGAATTCCTGAGCCAGCATAGCTGGCTCAGGAATTCTGGGAGTTGAAGTCCACGAGTCATAAAAGAGCCAAGGTTGTCTACCCCTGCACTAGTCTAAGCTGTAAAAACTGGTCTGCATACTTAAATTTATACTTCAGGGGAATTTCAGCTAGTGATTACTGCCCACTGAAGCCTATTCCTCAGCAAAACTAGATAGCCCAACAAAAGCTAAGCATTATATGCTGAGAAATGAATGAACTCAGATGGTAAAACACTTTAGCACAGTAGCAGTAGCTTATTGCACACAATCTATATAGCAGATTTCTCCAGAATATTCCACTGGTTGGAACCGCCCCACCTTCCCCAACCACGTTCTTCCATTTACGCGGCAGCACTAACACGCTCTCCCTCCCCAGCTGCAAAGGCCCTCCTCATTCTAGCCGCGAGATTCACGGATCTCGCCACCCAAAAAAAAAATTAAAAAAAATAAAAAAAAGGTTCAGTGAAGGGGAGGGGCTTGTTTCCAGGAAATGACGTCGCACGCAAAGCAACACTCACGGCTGGCCGCCAGTGTGTTTCCGGCTGGTGGGGGAGGGGTTTGGACAAGATGGCCGGATCCACAGGTCTGTGCTGAGATTGGGGTGGGGGTCATTTGGGGCTTCCTGCGGGACTGTCGGTTGGGAGGGAGGGCTTCGAACGTGGGGCCGAGACTAACCCTCGGAGGGCGGCTGAGCGGCTTCAGTAGAGCCCGACTGAAGATCCACCCGGGGAAGCGGAGGAGAGGCCGAGGGGTTGGCGCCGGGCAGGGAGTTCGCTTGGAAGAGACCGGGGAGGGGAAAGGAACCGGGTTAGAAACGTGTCGGGGTCTCTTGTCGAGGGCGTCAGACGCGCCCTCCAAGGCGGCTGTTGTATCTTGACGGGCGGGGAGCGGTTTTCTGGGTTTTCGAACCTTTTTCTGTGGCGGAAACTTACAGGGTTGGGGCTGTGCGAGCTGAGCAATGTCTTCGGTCGCATCCCTTTCCAGTCACATCGCTGACAAATGCGGCTCTTCCCAAGCCAGCCTGAACTCAGTCGCGTGTTTCGTTTCGAAAATTAAGTCTGGGACTTAACATGATTAACAGAGCTAAAAAAAACACAACCCAATGAGTTTAGGCTGGCATCTTCACTTACTACTCTGTTGGTTCTGAAGAATGCTTGTTTTTAAGGTTTTTTGTTTTTTTATAATCTCATGCACTTTCCTCCTCTGTCATCTTGGCTAACTTCCTTCGGATCTTCCAGGAAAGATCTGCCACTTAAGCAGTTTTATAAGCTTGGGATTTTGCTTAGTTTTCTTCCTTTTTTGATTGTTGCTTTGCTTTTTTTGTATAGGCAGTATGATAAAATAAATGTGAATATTCTTTCTCCTTTGTAGCATGCAATATGCCTTGCCTTTTATATTATTTTGTCCATATTTCCTCATTGCTCACATTTTTTCCCTTGTTTGTGGAGAGGACATATAAGTTAACCAGAAATTCACCCTATGGTGCTTCTGAATGATGTGGCATTTCAGTGAGTGTGGAAAAATAAAACAAATGATTCAGTGTGTATATGTATTATATTTACAAGTTTTATTTTTCTAGTATTCTAAATTAATAAAAAAAATCTGGATTAAATCATTTCTTACTAGGGGTTCATGAAATGGCATCATTGCATCTCAACTCTATTTAAATGTTCTAGTGCTACAGGTTCTGTTCTTACATCATTAATTTGATGCTTTAAGCTGTCTAATTATTGTGACTTCAATCCATTGTTAATATAGATGGGATTGTTAAATCAGTGTACATTAATCATATTACCTGGAGATGCTGTTTTATTCATAACTTCTGAGTTTCCCATGGGCTTCCAGTTGCCATGATAAGATAACTAGGCCTTTGGCAGCTGCCCTTATATACTGATTTGCTTAGACTGTAAATATTGTTTCTTGTTAAACAGGATGTGTTTTGCACACAATGGATGCTTAAATAATTAAATGTAAGTAATGTATTATTTTTATGTTTGTATCTTCCTCATAAGAGTCCAGTGCAGTATGCAAAGCAATACAATAAGCCATTGCTTTAAAATAAAATACTTAAGTTTGGAATAGATTTGTATCTATACAAATGTTTTAACAACAGGCATCTGTTTAAGAGTTTTGATTCTTAGTATTATTTCTAAAAGTATAATAAACATGTGTTTTCAAGTATTATCTAAACCTTGACAAATTAGGGCCAAATCTACTTTTAAGAGGGAAATTGGTAAGTAGGATATAATAACCAAAAGAGACGCTACAATAGGATTTATACTAAATAGTGAGATGAAGCGAAGTCTTAATTGCCAGCCTCTATGTGGGACCAGCCCCATATATGGGACATCAAGTACTTGGTGAGGCGCTGCCTTAAATACCTGGGTCTGAAAATATTTAGGGCTTTATGTGCTTGAATTGTGTCTGATAAAACTTATAAATAGTCTATCAGTTTTTTTAGGATTGGTATCTATTGTGCTTAACTGTTTTGTTAAAATTTTGACAGCTGCATTCTAAATGAACAGTAGTTCACAGATTGCCTTTAAAAATAGCCCAATATATAATATATTATATAAATCACATATATAATATACCACATAAATCTAATACTGATTACCTTTTACAATGTATAATAGTCATTGATGAGTAAATAATAGATTCCTATAACCTTAAAATTATTAGACTTCCTAAACACATATACTTTTGTGAAAGCAGAAATTGCTTAGTATTTAGCTAGTTGAAAAAATGTTGGTAGGTGTACAGCCATTAAAGCATATTCTAAACATATTTAATAAGTAATACATTAGATAACAATTACAATTGGACAAATGCTAGTGTATATCCACTTTTTCTTCCAAAACTGTACATTTAGGAAGTCTTATGGGAAGCAATGATAGTACTGTTTACAAACATGAGAAAAGCAATTTATACATCTACATCTAGTTCAGATAAGTGTGTACTGAACAAATATAGTGTGTGTTTATACCTTACATTATGTAGAAATAAAATATTTCTACTGCTTTTCTGTAAGAAAAGGTAGCTGTTTAGAATTTGCTAAGGAGTCCTTTTCCACTTTGTCTGGATTCACAGCATGGAGTAGGTTGAGTCTGTTTTTTATTTGTGTATTTCAGTATAATAGCTATAATTGTTAATTTTTTCAGTATATTTTAATAAAATAAAGTTCAGAATTGTATATTGAACTGCAGGTACCATCTATTAAAAAGCCATAGATCTTTCCTCAGTTTGTGCCTCCAAAAGCAAAATTACTGTGTGGGCATAGTAATATTCAAGCAACTTAATTGGCACTGCATGTTTGCATAATTGTTAATCTAAACAAAGAATCATGTATGACCATATCTGAATGAATAATCTGATACCAATTCCAGTGACTAGTACAATTGTGGATTTGGAGCATATAATTGATAAGAAAATGAAATATAAACTTACTTTTCGCCAGATATTTTCCCAGACCTAGTACCTTAACAAAAAAAAGTATTTAATTTTCAGGCATAGTGTATACAGGTAGTCCTAATTTACAACAGTGGTGAACAAGCAATATGTATGACTGGTCCTCAAAGTTCCACACCCCTGTGATCATGTGATTGTGATTTGGCGCTTGGCAGCCAGCTTCCACTTACAATAGTTGCAGCATCCCATAGTCACATGATCATCACTGCAACCTTCCCTGCCAGCTTCCCACAAACTGGGAGGTGAAGGCACAGGTCTGCTCCAACTCCCTGTCATTTTTCCATCCTTCCACCCTCCGGAGCACCTACCTTGTACCTGGCCATGCTCTACTGAATGGCAACAGTCAGTTGCCTGCCCTCTGGAGCACCCACCTCATGTCCTGCTTGCTCAATATAATAAAACTAGTCAGAAATACTCTTGTCTGTAGTTTCTTATTTTGTCTAAACCACAGAATTACAGTCATCAGCTTTACAACAAATCAGTAATTTGTAAACCATAATCTGAGATTGGATTCATATTCTAGCTTGTTCTAAAACTAGTAGTTAGAATCTTTCTAATTTCAGTGCTTCACTATGGAAAAAAAGTTTTCATATGTTCTGGAAAGAAAAAGGATTAAGTCAAGGTTTGATTATTCACATTTGACAATGTTTCCTGGAGACTGATAATATGAACTGAAAAAATTCTCACTATCAATTGATTGGATTTGACTTCCAAGTATGAAATTTGATATTTAGAATCTACCATTTAAAATAAGACTAATGAGAAAATGTTTTTATTCCAAAATAAATTAAACATCCATATAATGTGAAATATCCATCTAATTTATATACTGCTCATCTCGCAGTTCAAGGGCAACTCTGAGTGACTTACAACATTATTTTATGCATAATGGTTTAATTTCCAATTGGGATGTACTTTGTTTACCATGAAAGTGTTTTTGTTTTGTTTAAATACATTCTGATGTGTGATTTATAATGGTTGGATTAGATGAAACGTAACAGGTTAAATAAGTTCGTAATACTGTTTTTAACAATGTTAATATTGCCTCATTTCTTTCCAATAGTTAAAGTCCCTCGTAATTTTCGCTTGTTGGAAGAACTTGAAGAGGGTCAAAAAGGAGTAGGAGATGGTACAGTAAGCTGGGGTCTGGAAGATGATGAAGACATGACACTTACACGGTGGACAGGCATGATTATTGGACCACCAAGGGTTGGTGCTGCAAGTTAAATATTTTTCTAAAAAGAAACGTTTGTGTCATGTTTTAAGAGAACATGATCATTGGTAGTTAATATAGTTACATTCCAGTCTTCGTTTTGTATTTGTCAGGAGTGTTTTAACTAATAGAAACTAATAGAGGGAGTTATAAAAAAATATTTACCTTTTGGGGTATTTTGGAAATATTTCAAATATGTCCAATCTAAGACATGAACAACACACTTATAATAATGACAAATACCTTTATATATATGTTTATTAACTCTGTAATAAAAACATATATTGAGAAAATAGAGCTCACATGTGGCTATTTCACAAAGCGAAACATACATGAATTTTGAGTGCTACTGTCCAATAGTGAAATATATTATCTTATTCCGCCGATTCAGTATTGAAATGATACTAGATAGCTACAGTTTGCCAAGAAGTTTTTATTTTCAGAAATAACAAATCTTGGCCATATTAGGCTTCTTGCAGATCACCCTCCTTTCCACTAGTGTGTGTACGTATGTATGTGTGACGAGATCAATTGGCCAGTATTAAAGAATCCAAAGATGTGTTGCTTTTCCTCCTTTTTTTTGTGGGCTTTTCCCCGGGGGTTAATATGTGAGATAAAGTCAAAAGACAGAAGGGAATGAGAGCTCCTGCCACATGGAAACTCACAGCTCACCCTCTCCTCCATCCACTGTATCCTTTTTAGACCTAGATGTGTATCTGTTGCTGAGTTTGAAGTATGATTTTCTTGTTAGGTATCCCATCATCAGTTATTGTGCCTGTTTTAGACATGACTGCCTTGTTAGTTTTGTGTATCAGTATTATACAGCATTTTGCTCTTTGATACAAATTTGTATCTTAGAACTAAGCACAATTTAATGAATTTTGTTTACTTGCTGTAAAATAATTTTAAGTAGGATAGTGTTTACACTATAATTCTTTTATTTCTATTTGTACTTCTTTTTTGTAATTGTACCACTTATTAGTTTAAGTTGAGAGAAGTTCTACAGAATGGAGATCCTAGCACTGAGAAGTTTGAGGATTTACTCAGTGCTGTTGAAGGAATTGTTATTTATTATTAAATTTGTTTGTTGCCCATCTCTTAATGAAATGACTCTGGGTGGCTTACAGCATAAAACATTAAAATCATCACATATAAATATATCTAAAACAGTAAAAATAGAAGTTCCCATTCAAATAAAATTATAATTAAAAGATGAGGAGGGAGGGAACAGGATGTGTATGTAGTGGGGGAGTGGGATTGCCTCTTAGGACCCCAAGCCATCTGGCAGAGCCAGGTCTTCAGCCTCCTGCATAAGGTTAGGAGGGTGGGAGTCAATCTCAACTCAGGGTGTAAGATGTTCCAAAGGGCAGGAGCCACGGCAGAAAAGGCTCTTCTGGCCCCAGACAGCTGAAATGCCTTAGCTGATGAAGCCCATAGCATGCCTCCTCTGCTGGTGCTGGTGGGGAGGGCCAGTCCCAGTGGAGTGAGATGGTTCCTCAGGTAACCTGCACTCATGCCATGCAAGGCTTAAAGGTAATAATCAATGCCTTGAATTGCTTCCAGAAGCAGACCAACAGCCAGTGCAGCTCACGGAGCAGTGGTGTAATTTGGGTCATTCTTGGGACCCCAAGAACTGCCCCCACCGCCGCACTCTGCACCAGTTGAAGCCTCTGAATGCTCTTCAAGGGTAGGAATAATAAATATTTTTTCAGCTTGAATACAGGAAGTTGAATTTGGCTGACTCAGAAGATTCAGTCAAGATTAATGATAGAAAAGTATAAATATACTGTTGACAGTTCCTCCTGCTTTCAAAAAGAAGCAAATATAATTTACTTGTAAATATTTTTATGGCATTCATTAGAATTGTCATATGGAAAGAACTCTTGAAGTAAGCATTCTGGAAGGACATGCTAACACTTCTATTTTAGGGTTCTTGCACATATATTTTCAATTGAAACTTTTATATAATAATCTTTACCAGGTCATGTCTTTAGGATGATTAATACAGTTTCAAATGCAGCTTTAATAAAAGTTTCTATTTTTTTTAAAGTCCAAAGTTATAATTGATCAGAAGAAGGTTTCAGTTTTTAGATTTCAATTAATCTAAAAGATTGATTTGATTAATTAATTTATAGTAAGCAAATGTCTCTAAGTCACGATTACAGTAAAGGATTTATACTTGGTTTATCATCTACCTAATGTAAATATAAAAAAAATTAAACACATACATAGCATTCATTTTGGATTATTACAGTTAGTATTAAGAATTTACATCATCAGTGTCTTCATGTGTATTATTTCAGTGATCATCTAGAAAATCATAATTAGACCTTAAAGTCAGGGCCTTCATGTATCTGTTACAAAATTCCAGAAAATATTTCTGTTTATTACACCAAAATCAATGAAGAATCTATCATATTAGAATTATTATTCATTTAAAAGGATTCCTTCCTATTTTACCAAATGTGCCATTGGTTGGAGGTATAGAAGGTTTTTCTTATTTGAAGCCTATACGTATATTTAGTTATTGCTTTATATTTAAATTTTTAATGTTGGAGTCATAGCGCTTCAATTAATCTAAATCCAGATTGGAAATAGGGAGATTGTAAGCCCTCAGTATCCTGGTCCAGTAAATACACTATTTGCAACTTTACTTCTTGAAGCTTTAAGAGTTGGTTCTGGATGGGGAGCAACAGACTCAGACTCAACCCTTCCAAGACTGAGTGGCTGTGGCTGCCGGCTCCCAGGTATGGTCAGCTGACTCCATCGCTGACTATAGGGGGCGAAACTTTGGCTCCCTCAGAGAGGGTGCGCAATCTGGGCGTCCTCCTGGATCCACGGCTGACACTGGAAGACCAGTTGGCGGCTGTGGCCAGGGGGGCGTTTTACC